AATATTACGTGAAGCATTATGCACTTCACATGCGAGGAAGGGGTTGCTATATCACGTGTCCAACTGCCTAGAATTCTGCTTCTATTGCATAACGGATGGATATGATGGGAAAAGTGTGAGTCGGTTTATTATTGGTTTCTCTGGAAGGCAACGTACCCCTCCAGAGCACACGCTAATAATGGCCGACATCATCTCACATGAAGAGAAACAACATCTGCAAAAGGCATTTAGTTACATACGTACAAAGTTTATGTGTGTATCTCGCATGGATATTTACGAAATGGTGTTACTCTACAGTAGAATAATGGTCTTAATTAGGAGCATTAATGATACAATGCTTATTTTTATAGTTGGAAGGATTTTAGATTTAAAATCGTTAAAACTATATGCATAGATCCGCATCGATGATATTATGCTCTGCTAAAAACCCACACATTTTTTGTGCAAATATTTATATGCGTAAAATAAATTGAGACAGCGAAACGAAAATCTGGACAGAGTCAGTTAATTAGAGTTGATTGTTGTATTCCGATTAGTCAAGGCCAACACTAATAATTTGTGTGATTCATGATGAGTATTTTGCTCGTAATTTATGACTCACGTAATTTTTCATGTAATACTTGATGATCAGAATGAAATGGTAAATATGTAAAATTGTAATTTTATGGTACATACATGCGCAATAACCACAAATTATACTCGTGTATGTATGTACGTCCAGATGGGCGCCAGTAATTGTTGTGAGTTCATTAAGTAGCAAATGAAATGAAATAATAATGTTGTGTGATTGACGAGGCCTTCGTATCATGTAAAAATAACTAGAATCAGCGTTGGCAGCAATAAAAAAATGACAATGTAAAAAAGGTTCAGGTAAGTAAATAAAATCAGGGTTAAGGCGAAACAAGGTCGTAATAATGTTTTTTGGTAAGTAGCTTAAAATCAGTCCCTTAAATAGTAATTATTCCTCACTCACTGTTTTTGATGCCTTGAATTTATTTAATTTTGAATTAATGACTAATAAAATTAATACGATGCTGCTGAATTTGGCAAGGGTGAAATTAATTTTTGCTCGTAATGGCAATTGGAAAGGTAAGTAAATTGTAAATTGTAAAAACAGAAGACTTTAATGTCCCTTAAATATAACTGCAAAAAAGATTACGCTAAACTGTATTCAAAAATCGTAAATAAAATTTTATTTTATATCATTGTTAAAAATGCAAAGTAGACCTTTAGTAATTTCATCGGTTGGTGGTCTACCAAAGAGAATCATAAACATAACATAATTTCTTTCTAACAAATAACTGATCGATTTCCACAATGTAAAAAAAACTCCACAGGATGCAATATCATTTCCAAAATTGCTTTTCTAATTTTTACACTATTTTTTATCTTCCTATATTTTTTAGACGGTCGCCGATCTGACCTTTCGTCTCGTCAAGGCATAAAATAATAAAATCTGCGTGTGACAACATAACACTAAACGCACCAAACTACACCACGGACGGATAAACTAAAACATAAACAGCGCACACAAAATAATAATGTAAAGCAAACTGAACAAATATCAAGTTGCTCTGTGTGTTGTTCTGTTAGTGGTTGCATGACATGACCAAATAATATAATGGAGAGAGTGTGATGATGAAGTGGGATGAGTTGACTTGACGAGAGGGAGACTTGGTTGATGGGACATAAAATGAAATCCATTTCAATAAAAATGGTCATCTCGACGACGACGACGACGACGGTCAGAGTCAGACTGAAGAGATGTTGCATTATATTTTTTTTATGTAGGGATGAAAGTACGTACGAGGATGATATATGATCCAAATGTATCAGGCGTACGTACGTATGTACGCGTGTACTTCCTTCTTCTCGCCGAGTTAACAAATCGCCACATTAAATACAGCTCAGAGTAATGAGTACTGATTAAGTGACACGTAGTTATAGCCATTATTTTGTGAGGACAGATCTTAATGGGGATTCGTCTTGATAATCATAATATATATGACAATGTTGCCAAAAATGGGTTCCGTATCGGGTTTCAAACCGCAGTTATGTATATTTGCAGGGATTTATGAATTGAATATGCTCAAAATGTATGATATCGACGCCGCTAACGAAATATTTGAATGAAATATAGTTGATCTTAATTGCAGATTTTGTCAAAGTGGTGTGATAATTATACATACTCTGTCAATAGGCCGTTGTATAATATTTTAGACTAATTTACGTGGTTCATGGATTAACTTGAAAAAATAAATACAATTAATAACAAGTTTCGTATTACATGTACCACAAATCTGCGATTTTTTAGCACGTCTAAACCTAATTTCTAAGTTTCTAAAAAAGTCCTTCCATCGATAAACAATTATTCGCTACAAAAATAGCAGAATGGAAAGATCTCATATACTCTAAAATTATGTATTTTTTGTCGCATTAAAAAATAACTAAGTCGTGACTATGAAACTGACATACTACTCAAATTCATCAACTATTTAAAACCTAAAATAATAAATAAAACTAAAAAGCATGCTTGATACAAAATTCACACAAAACTAAATATTTTACCATGATTGTTGTACATATAAATCTGCACATAACGTATGTACAATAATAATTTTCACAATTGTTTAAACAGTGCCATAAAACCAGGACGTGAATGAAAAGTTGACCACAACAGGGAACAAATTTACACAAAATTGCTGACATGTGATATCTAGCAGCACATGCCTCAACGGCCTGACTATACATCACGATTGTAGAAACACGTTTTTTCTTCTATTTCATGAAAGAATTCAATTTAAATTGGACTAGTAGTAAAATCAATTTCATTTGACTGCAGCATTTATTTTAATCCTTTAAACTCCTTCAATATTAACTGCCCCTTATTCGAAGGGTGAGATTGTGACTGACCAATCAACTTGGGTCGATCGTGTTATAAATAAAAGTGAATGGATTATAAGAAGGGTCGCGCTACCCTATAGGCTAAGATTTGGCCCTAACTGAAGCTCTGCCATCCAACTTTATAAAGACGTTTATAGGCGATTGTGCCGCAATAAAGTAGTTGTTAATGCAATAAAATGAATAAAATTAAAGATAACGGGCTTTACTTGACCATTTGCTTTTTGGTCTCCATTGGTCTCGTCATGTTAAGTATTTAGTTGTATCATAATCCTCCTCACATCCTGTGCATGCAAGAACGGACAGGTGAAACGGGTTGAAGAAGAAGATATGCATACATAAGCACCACCATTTCCACAATAATGTTAATGTCTCTTATAATTATTAATGTAATGTCATTCTTGTCATTCTTTATTATAATTATTATTCAGAGGGGATGCTGATAAGTTCAATTCAGCCGAACAGGATTCTTTTCTGCAGAGTAAATTGAATAATTAAATAAATTAAGTACAATTCGACTCTCCCATTAATTCCACCATTACTTTTGGAAGAGCTGTCCCATAACGAGGGATGTGATGCTCAATGGTCAACAGTCTGCTTGACCAGGTCTGGTTTTTAGTTTCGCATTTACGAGAAGAAATTGCCTATTGCAGGAGCAAGTAAAGTGACAGCAAACCAGACTGGATTGGTCGTTTAGATCCATTCAAAATCTCCCTTTATTGCCAAACCACACAGCATTAGAAGAAGACCAAATAGCAGACCACAACTTTTAGCATTGTATTGTGTATCGTGTTATTGGATGATCACCATCAGGGTCAAAGGCCAAAGATTTTTTTTAGTTTGGTTTCTTACTCACACAAAAGTTGGGAACATTCTTATAGAAATTTTATTGCCACGAGGAACCATGTCAATGATAATGATGATGATCCTCTGCACCAATTTGAGCTTAAACGGATTTAAATTTAAACCCAATTTTATTTAGTGTTGCTCAACCAACTTTGATGAGAGTTTGCATGTCTTCATAAAAAGTGAGTGGATCGGAAAGGATGAATGAGTATAACTATAACTATGTATGTAAATGGTAGGAGAAGCAGTATCAAAATGTGATATTTGTTTGGGCGTTTGGGTTATTTAATCCATTCCAGAGAGAGAAAGAACGGAGAGGCTGCGTTATTAGGAGGCATGCATGGCTGCTGTAAGAGAGACGTCGTATGGTCGTTAAAACCGTAAAAATCTGGTAGATTGCCAAAAGTGGTCCATAAATAAATAAAAGGTTGGCTGAATGGTTGGGTCGGAGGCCAACATAGTCCATAAGTAACGCGTACATGAGAGACTTTGTCAGTCGACATTACTTACATTAAACCGCACGAATGCAAAAAGAAAGAAATTACTATCCCGCATCGAATCAAGGAAGAGAGAGAACAGCCAATTACTTCAATTCAAAGCTATCAAATGTGACATTTGTGAAGATAACCAGAAGAGTGGGAATGAGTTTGAGAAGTAAGTAAATAAACGGATGGATGGATTTGACTACTGACTGCTAGCCTTCAAAATATTTAACCGAAAAATTTTCAAATCTTGTGATACGAAAAAAAAGTCGGTCGGTTGATGAAACGCAGAGGATCGAGACCAGAGAAGAGATATGTACATAAAGACGGAGGAGTAAACAAATGGGAACATTTTTAGGAATGGTTGGAATGATGCTGAATTGGTGAAATGTGTGGCTCGTAAATAAATGAAAGTGCAGGATTTGCGGATTTGGTATTGAGAATAAATCCAGGGGAAATGTGGCTTAATGAACTTTTAGGAAATCTCTTAATGGGGACAGAACCCGTTAGAGAGACGATTTCGGGTCCCATTTAGTTTCGTTGCTGGTTCTCAATTTATTTTCACGGGATAAAACACAAATCACAAAAAAGAGAAAGAGTGACGTGACTTTCTGTCAGGCGTCATCTTGGTCGTGTTCTCTCATTTCGTTTGAGTCAGCGAGAGAGTCACTAGATGAGTTTCAGGATTAAATCATGGTGGCGGTGCAGAGGGGCATGTATGAACCGGAAGTAGGAGAAAACATAAGGATCAAAGTATTGCTGCGTACTGACCTGTGATTGACATCCACGGGTATCTTGGAATCTGGAAAATGGACAAAATAATTAGTTGAAGTTACATATACTGGCCAATTTTCACAAAAACGGGATTCTGATTCTCATGAAAATTATTGTTAATTTTCAAATTATTGAATGTCTTACATCCGGAAGTCCTTGTCCCCCTTGCGGACACTGGCCACCCATCGGATCTCCTCCCGAGGCTGCAACGGCTGCCTGATGATAAAACTGGGCTGCTGCCGCGATCGAGTGGGTGATACCGGCCGCTGTGGCGGCGCTATTGTGACCTGCGGCAGCAGCATTTGCTGCTAAGTTATAGTTGAGCATAGAGTCAGCAACTGACGGAGGATTATATCGACAAGACTTGTCATTAGGATCCCCACCTGCACCAAGATGACCACCAAATCCGCCCAGGCCACCTGATGCGGCCACCGCGGCGGCTGCAGCGGCTGCAGCGAACGGACTTTGCTGACCCATCGACACGTACGGATACATCCTGGCAGCCGCGGCCATGGCGGAGGAGTAATTCACGGCAGAATTCCCCCCGACCCCGGAGGAATCACCGCCACCATATTTCGGAAGCATGGAGTCGATGAATTTCGAGTTCATAATACCGAATTTTAGACAAATTTATTACTCGCTCGTTGTTTTTTTGGTAGAAATCCAACGAAAATCGTAATCTGTAAGCATTAAAATAAATCATTCTCATGAATTGTTTCGTTTTTAACAAACGTGCTAAAAAACACGAATTCTTTTACGCACACCACTTAATAATTTATCTCGTGCAAATCTCAACCAACATTCCGGCAAATATGATGCAAAACAATTAATCCATTGTTGGAGTATTTACTTAATGAATGGGTTAGATGTATCGGATGAGGAGATGATGAGTAATAATTTAGTGAGTAACGTAACTAACCACCTTTTTCCTCCTACATGTAACCATTATTATTTCAATCAAACCTAGACCAAGCTAACATCCAAAACCAGATCTGTTCGCAAATACTGCTTCGCTAACTAAACTGTATCAAACAATCTTTACTTTACATTTCTTTCCGCAATAATTGGCAATAAGCCATCCTCTCACCACGGTGCAACAATTACCAACAATTTCTAATTTATTCCCAACTAAAGTGAGTCAATATTGATTGATTCATATTATTAGCGAGGATATGAGTTAAGTGATCACAAGCTCAACATGTAATTATCTCACGATCTGAATTGATATGCATAATAATTAGTACTTAATTATGACGTATGTAGCAGTGCCATTTTTTTGCGACATACTTAATGCATAAAATTACATATTCCTCTAATGCGCCATTTTCTGCACATATTATACTTAATTGTTTGCCCATTAGTGCATAAGGATGATTATCCATGATGGCGTCGTTGGCTTGGCTCGGGTTTTATTTTTTTAGGTGGTGCGATACATCACGAAATGCATTCCCTGAAAGGAACAAGGCCGTAAAAGGACACAGACAGTCTCCGTTAATGAAGGAGCAAGTCTAATGATTGATTGGTTTTATGTCGTGTATGTGAATGTCCATCCATTATGGTTCTCCTTTGTATTTCTTTGTGGGCATACATAGTTTGGGCGCAGTGGGCAGGGTTTCTGGCTCGCTGGCCAATCTCAGTTATCGCCAAATGGGCAATGCTTATGGTGCATTTACATATTTAATACATGTATCTTTTTCCTTTAGTATAATACTAAACACACCTTCACATTTAGTAATCATGTCCAACTTTCACCCGTAGGGGCGACTGTGCGATGTACGTATTGTATCGTCTTAATTTGTTTATGACGGTTATAAACGGCATTATCCCAACAACAATAAATTACCCTGCACAACAATAGGATTCAATTCTTGGACGGAAGAAATGCCCAATAAAATGGTGATGATGATCTTTTTTTCCCTAACCCTTGTTCATATTGATTTCAGCGCTGATAATAATAATCAGATTGAAAAAAATGCAGTAACAACAAAATTTTTAATAATGATTATGACTCAAAAAATGATGTACATACATATCTCTAAATGATGCCTTATGACCTACCGCCATTCACGCGATATTATTATACAAACAAGATTCGTTATGTAATTTTTACCCTTTTAGGATACCACAATAACGCCGATATAACGATTACCTGCCCAATTTCAAGTCTACTAAATTTGAATCAATTACATTTTATAATTTTACTTTGGTGAGGAAGACACGAGCAAAAAGCACAAGTGCAAATTATGCACGGATTAAAAGAAGACTAAATTGGGCATAATAGATAATCGTTGCCATTATTACACACACATCGGCCGGCACACACAAGACCTTTATTGATAATTTTCTCCTCAGTTTAGGATGCAATGTAACAACAAAATTTAAATACCAATAAATTAATAATTTGATTGATTTGCACACCGCTCAGAATTTTAATGCAATTAAGGACGGCTATTTTTTTTATAAAATATTGTGCTTTCTCCACTTTTAGATCGGATTTTCTAAAATATAATCCCTTCCGAAAACGAAATTTTAATGATAAACGTTCAATTTAAGTGGTGATGCAAATGATGAATCATAAATAATTTCAATAAAACTTACCGGATTAAATTTCACCGATAATAAAAAACCCTCTCTCCAGTCCAACACCCGGTCTTACAAGAATTACTTCCTCCTTCCCTCCCGCTTCATTAATCTTGAAATTGAATTAATTTTTCTCTTTAAATTTGTATTTGTCCATAATTTAAAACAAAACAAAAACTGTTCACATTGGTCACATTGGTAAAATTTTACTAGCAAAGTAAATAAATAAACAATAAAGTCGTAATTAAATTAAGCAGTATCTGTGTCTGATAAATAATAATTGTCGCACGATTAAAAAAATATTAAGCACAAATTAAGGAAGAATTGTGATTAATTAGTCAAATAATTAAATAACTTATACACATTCACAATTAAACCATAAAAAAATTAAATTCGGCTTTGTAGCGTGTCAAGTTTCATGCACTTTCTCTCTCTTTAAATAAATTGTGTCTCCATAAAATTGTAAATAAATGTGGTGATTATGCTTCCAATAATTTGTCCATAAAAGTAAAAATGAACAAAAAACGAGTAATTTTTATGAATTTATAACGGGTAAAAAAGGCTTGCGTATTATTATTATTATTAGTTCGTCGTTGTTCAGGTGTAATAAAAGCTCAACCTTCTGCTCGATCTTGTTCTCCAGAGATGATAACAGCTAAAAAGGAAGAGAGAGATAGACTGGTGGTTATACGTCGAGGAAGATCTTTTCTGGGGTGACGATGGAAGTCGACTAGCTGACCCAAAGCAGAAACAATGCTACAAAACCTGAACTACTCGCTAGCTCTGAACTGAAGTCGTCGCAATCTCGTGTAACGTGCCGAAAGTGCAAGCTTAGTTTTGGGATCCTTTTTTTAACTCGTGGAAAATCTCTGGGAGAATCCTTTCTTTATTATTTACAATCGGCAATTCACTTTATTCTGCTTTTGTTAACTTGTCCCCTTTTTTTAATACAAGTAAGTATTGGTAAACTTGCACTTTCCGTTCGTAAATATAGATAGTTAAGGAGGAAGGAAGCTAATATTAGTGTAGGGAAGGAAGGATGGATGGATGGATGAGTGGGTGGTTTGCTGTGTCTTGATTTTTTAAGGGTTGTAAAATCAAAAGTTGTAAATTCCCTGGAAAAGAGAGAGTTGGGTAAGAATAGGAAGAATGGGACAAAGGTATGAAATGGAATTTGGGCTAAATTTGTTACCCCGTAAAAAATAGAGGGGATGCGTATGAGTAGATTTGTAATGGGGAGAATGAGTTAAAAACAAGCAGAAATAATAATTTTGATAAACTTTGCTAAATATATTTAAAAATTATGTAAGTAATAGAAATATTTATATGTATAGCTGAGGGTTATGATTTTTTGTAATTGGCGTTTAAGACGAACAAGTATTTAAATTGTTGAGTTTTTTATGATAAAATAAAAATACTACATATTACAAATATTTTTTAATAGGTTTAATTTTTAGATGGATGTAGAGCGGTACATAAAAATGACAGAATTGTTCAAGTTTTAGGTTACAACAGGGTGTAAAAGAATTGGTGGTGGTATGCTTGCCTATACCTGTCAGTCTCCCTGCCTGTCTGTGTGCGTATATGTATGTACGTATGTGTTGGCTGCAATAAAAGTGGTGAAAGTGAGTGTGGAGAATGATAAGTGCACATTGCATCGCATTCCCCAGCACGGAGTACATTCATTTCACAGAGATTCCTATTTCACAGGGATGAACGGAGCCGTTTGTGCCAGAGTGGATTGGGGATCCTGGAGAAATCTCCGAGAAAGAAATGCCCACCTCACCCGCGCGGCCAATCCCGGGTTTTCTCCGCCCTCGGGACCTGGCCCATATCCGACACCCATGACAACCGTTACATGCCTAGAATGGCCTCCTTATCTCGGCCGTATATTCATGCAAACTGCCCGGAAGGGGGCATCCACCATGCATCGTCCCTTCTCTTCAGGGATGCGGGTTACCCGGGTGTTTGCATGTGCACGCTACCCGGCCCGGGTAGTATACACGGTCCGGAATGATGATATCCCACTGAATGCAAAGCAGATAGGATGGTCTTGTGTACAAGAGTCGTAATTTGTTGAGAGATGATTAGCTTTACGAGCATTATCTTACATTTTAGTACGAATGGTACATACGAACGCAAAGATAAAGTCGGAAATGGAGAGAAGGCGGCGTAGTAGTGCTGGTTATGGTACAGCCAACATTGTGAGAAACAATGGAATGGATATAATAAGAGACAATGCTACGAGGAGTTTTATTATTCATGGAGATACAGAGAGAGAGAGAGAAAGAGGAGAAAGATAATATGAAATTAAATGGAGAAATGCTATTCATTTATTACAATGAAAAGTGAGTGCGAATTTAGTTTCGTGAAAATGTTATATGTAATTACACGAGTTTTGTAAAAAGTTTTTTATTATTATAATGCATATATGAATCATGTTGATGTAAATGTAAGAGTGTCATTTTTTAAAGATTTAATTTGAAACATAAATGAACACTTTGAATCAGATTTAGGTTACAAGGTTAAATTTACTATTAGAAATGTCACATTTAAAGTATGAAATTAAATTTTAACATGAAATTCACGTTGTGAATCTACTCTGTAAAGTGATCTCTGCCCACGGAAAGTGAGAGTTCCCTAAATATTCCCAGGCTGGCTGGTTGCAAGTTGAGTTCAGTAAAAACGAACAAAGTGACACCACCTAGATCGAAAAGGACAAATCTACTCTCCCGACTTGTCACTTTCCCTTGCTTCGAAAGCGCCACGACAAGATCCCGAACTCTCCTGGTTCCGATGGCATATTCGAATCTGCTTCATTGTCATGGCTGATATTATGTCATCGTGCTGAAAAGTGGACAAGATGCAATCCCAAATCATGCAGAATTGCTAGTTGACAACTTTATTCATGGAAATAAATCAACCACTTTTTAACCAACGACAACCACCCAGATTATTCATTCAGTAGATGAGAAAGTTGACAAAAGTCTGGTTTTTGCACACAAAGTGAAATGTGACAGCATGTCCAAGTCGACATAAATTGTGAATCTGTCGACCATTTTTCTTGTTAAAAAGTCGGTAAAAAGTGGAATATGTAAAAATATTTGATCCAGCATAAATCAAAAACAGTTGTTGATTGAGTTCTTTGCCGTTAAAAAAATAATTCTGTATGTGGTACATAAAAATAAATTTAAGGTTTCATTCAAGTATAGAATTAAATATGTGATGAATTGCACCACATTAAATGCAAATTTTTGACACAATTTAAATTTATCCCGATTTCCTAGCCACATTATTGTTTCGATGATTGATAAATAATTTAAGGCTGCATAAAACCAGGATGGAATGACTTTCGAAAGATAAATATGTCGATTGTAAACTTTTATGCCGTGTTTATTTTATGCAAGTTGAACATCTTGGACATGTGCTGTCTTTTACTTACAGGAGGCGCATAGGTGACTAGGGAATGGATGGATGGTTTAATGGGCCGTTAAAATTAGGGAGAATGACCACTTATGAGGTGGTTATACTGACGGATTAGGCATTTTTACACTGATCCGAACGGTCGTAAAGGGTTTATTTTGTGGTAATTTTTAAATACCGAGTGACTTGTGATACATGTGTGGAAGTGCTCAATAAAAAATAAAAATACTTTTTATCATCGTTTCAGACTAATTTCCTTCACTCTTATTTTTTACAAGTTTCGTCTTTATTTAAGGATTAAAAATACATCGCATTTTTATAAATAGATAAAAATAAAGAAAAGTGAGAGTGCCTCATTTTTGGGTAAACCTCAGCTTTACTTGCGTATTTTACTTACGTATTTATGAAGGAAGAAGATACGTACTTGTGTCACATGCATCATCGTCTTCTTTTCCGTCGTTTGCTTCTCTTGTTGGGATTTATGGCATCTTCTTTTTAACAAGTTTATGACGGATGTAAACATTTTGTGACCTATTCTCAGCACATTTATACCCATTGTCCACCACCCTCCCAGCACCTCAGTCCAGTCCAGTGATTCCTCAAGTGTTGCATGACGTGGTGATGGCACAACTTATAAAAATAAACGTAGGTATCATTCCTACATGCAATTTTATGCATTTTGCATGTTCTGTATGCATTTTCGCGAAGTGTTCCTTATGCATTTTGTATGTTCTGTACGCATTTTCGCGAAGTGTTCCTTATGCATTTTTGCAAAATGATAATACAATCTGCGACACGAACAAAAATGATCAAAACCGTAAATGATGCTTTTCCCTTAAGAGTAAATATATACAGATAAGCCCAATGTTATAGATAAATTTACAATCTAACTTATCCACCCTGTCCGAATATGAACTTGACATTGGTACTTCTTGATGGTGACAATGACACTCGAGTAGAAAAATCAACCCTGAATTTATTTTTTACCCCGGACCGTACGGGACTTTTATTGGGCCGCATACCAACCACCACGAGGCCAGGAATAGCGGCAATTAAGCGTGTGTTCCTTTTTATTACGTAACCCTTAACCTTGACAGACTCAGTTTAAGCAGTAAAAAACCCTTACCTTTAACTTCCAATAGGTTCAATAAATACACAGAAAATGCATGCCCAGATAGTGTCACACGATGCAATGCAATGTAACGGGGACTCTGCGTCGCACGCAATAAAACAATAAAAATATGGAAGTAAACGTTCCTCGGATTTAAAGGGTTTCTTGTCTTTTTTTAGTTGAAAGTATTTTTTTAAAAGAAAAACAGTAATAAAATTGGATCCAATATCAAAGTCAATATTATTTCAGAAAACTACCTCTATTTGAACTTGACACTTATTCTGGCAACACATCCGACCCACAGTTTGCTCATGGTGGCCAAGTAGAACGGGTTAATTTACCAGTGTGACAAGTTGAATTTGCAATTTTTGTGCTATGTACATTCCTCGTCTGGCTTGTTGTCTGTGCTAAAAACGTGGCGTGGCCATTAAGTAAATATAATACTATCGAATTGGCATCTTTAATCGTGCCGTTGACGAGGTGCTGCTGGTGTTAATTGTGGTAATGAGCGTAATCGTTACTTATACTCTTACACATTGCAATTTTGTGAGAACATTTTGGAGACGGATTTGTGATCGAAAAATTGATTCAGGTAATTCTTCGTCACGAGCTTGAACGGTAAATTTAAATTGTATTTTGGGATGGACCCAATTTTTGTAAATACTTGTTTCAATTTGTACAATCATGATATAAAGGTGTGTAAAATTGATGCATGGGTTTTGTGCAGGCTTTGATTAAGTCGGAAGTCTGACATGAATTAAGATTTAAGGTTATACTCGTTTATACAAGTTTGTGCGAATAATTTAAGCAAACCTGAATCCTGCAACAATACTGTGGTAATTAGTTGCAGGTACTAATCTTGTGATTATTTTCAACAAATAATCCCAAGAATTACATTGGTACACCGCAAAAATCCTCAATTTTATGCAGGTCCAAGGTAGCTGTTCAAATTCTTGTTCTATTTCTGATGAGTTGATTAATGTTGTTGAAATGATTTTTTAAACGAGTTAGAACTTACACAAATATGTAAATTAGATTCATTAAATTATCAGGTTCCGAGCGATAAATTATACAGGTACAGAAACAAATTGACAACTAGCAAGTATGCAAAAATATGCAAAATACGCTAAAATAAACAAGCGTAAATGGTCCACATATTATGTAAGTCTAAGTCATACGTGAAAACTTGATAGAATTTCATACATTTTTCTGCAACAAAATTTTTGAATTTTTCAGCTACCCCGTTCCCTAAAACGCATAAAACTTTTTGAAACTGTCCATTCCAAATAAACGAGTGCATCCATATCATATCCATATTTATCTCTCCTCCTCTTTTCTTACGGTAAATGTGGTGGAGAATGTTTTGCATTGTTATTACTTGGACATGAAGATAAACATTGTGCAAGACTTTTGAGGTGGCTATAACACTCTCGTGTTATGGCCAGCGTATTATGACATAAACATCGTGAGCATTGTTGAGTGAAGAGTTTACGTTTATTTAGATCCTTTACTTTTTACTTTATGACGGAGTGTGGATGTAAAATGTATACGACCCCTTCATCCCCGACACCCCGACACACGTACTCTTGACTATATTATCCTGATAACGAATAAAAACGGGCATTTCATTTTTTTCGAAAAAAAATCAGATTTTTTTCGTCTACTCTGGTAATTTTTCCGTGAGAAAAAAAAATCCCCTGCAAATAGAAGTAGAAGAAACTGCAATGCGGGTAAAAAAAAGTGTTTCGCAAGCAAGCGAAATAAAAGGTGGTTGGTTACGCAGAGATTGAGGGACCCTTGAGGGAAATCCTTTAAAATTGAAGGGATTAGTTCATCCAGCACACGGTTGGATGTGTAGGATGGGGGGTGGAAGTAGAAGAAGATGCATTTGTGTTTAATGGTTGGGATGAGATGGCCGACGATGAAATGGAGTTGGACGAGTTGGACAGACCAACCAGACTGCGGCTGCTGCTGCTGGCACTTCTAGTGTCAATTTATCCTTATTATTATTTCCCCTACTACTGCTGCGCCACCACTGGCCATTTACTTTCTCCATGCTTTCTCCCTCCAAGTAGTGGGCTTCCTCTGCTAATTTGGGAGAAAGTAGTGCAAGATACGATAGCTGTGCAGAGGGTGATAAATGTTGGTAAGGATGAAATGGCGTCATTTATCCGCAGTGTCCCCAACATTTTGTGGATATTCAACATCAACCTCCTCTTCCTGGAGGGCTGGTTGGTGGTGAGGAATAATCTAAAGTGGGTAGTATGAAAATGGATATGACATCCCGACACGTCCACAGGCACCACTTTTCCTTATCGATACTACATATTTGGGAATGGGAAAATGTGTAATGTGCATGGAAGAAATTGTGGGGTGGATGTACAGACAGTTTGTATAAGTGCACGTTGGAGAAAGAAGTGAAAGGAGGTGTAGAAGTTGAGTAGACAGGCTAAAATCATGATCACAGCGTTTTTTACTACTATGAATACAATCTGAGAAACATTTCCGAAATGCATTTATAAAAAAATATTAAATATGGCTGGAAATTACAACATTTTCTAAAATTTGGTGTTTTCACTAATCTGTATTTTTTAGTACGGCCCTGTTCTGTTCCTGCCCTATGATGAATGGTTTGGTGAAAGTGGAGAAAGACGACGCACGGATGGATGGAAAACCTGAACAAAATGTGTGTGGGTGGATATGAAATGCCCCGTTTTGAAGAGACCACCATTGGATTTTATGCCACCCATAACGCTCTCCTCCCAAATGGGACACAAGCTGCTTATCATCACTCCATACTTTCCCTCAAATCACGTAAAAACCGAGAAGAATAATGATCCCACCACCAGCAGAGAAAACCCAGGAAAAAACCATAATAATAACGCTACTGGTAAATATTTCTTAAAAGTGCTGCTCCTTTTTTTCCAAACTTTCCACCGAAAAACAATTTCTCGCCGGTTTCAACACCTAAAAAAACCCTACTCGACGAAATAACATGTCCCAAAAATATTTTGGTCTCAAAATTTTCAAGTCATTTTTCAAAAGTGAGACAACAATGGTTTAAAATCTGTCTCTCCATCTTTTTTCCGTCTCTTCCCTTAAGAAACAAGTATGCACGACACTAAACTATCACATATACGTACCTACGTAGGTGTACGTATGCATGTACATTATTATTCTCCCACCACACCAATAATAGCAATAACATAACATCCATTTTCCACCACAATCTCTCAGGGATCTATTATATATTACAGATATTACGATGATATCATTTCGTATTAAATTATACCATGACTTGGTCATTCACTCGAATTATGCCAGACGCAGACGAGCCATATCTACCACATATGCGATAAGAATCCTCATTTCATTTCGAAATAAACTACTTAACAATAGGCTACCAGTTAGAAAAAATATGAATGTATCCCGACCGTTGTGTCCCGTCCTTTACACAATTTTCTGATTCACAATCCGGTGGTAAAGAAGAAGAAGGAGGAGTGAATACTAAAAAACTTTGTAAGTTTTATGATGGCTGCAAGATTGAACTCAAGTGGAGACGAGATTAAGTTGGATTATTCTCGTGTGTGAGAGCCAAGTTATTGTTATTGTGATTGTTATTATTGTTATGGGATGTTATGCATAATAATAATGGGTTGGATGGATGTGGATGCAGTCTTCAAGATTTTATTCACGATTATACACGATATTATGTCGTGGGTTGGGATCCTGCACGAATTTGGGGGGAGAAACGACCCCTGATTTGGCAGAATCTGAATTAAAATCAAACCCGTTGGATGTTCCCTGGTTGAAAATGGATTTTTTTGTAGGCGGACAAGAAGGCAGCATTAGATTAGGAAGGGAACATTTATTAAATGTATGAGATGAGATGGGCGATGTTTGATGGTTTGAAACCCCAGGCAGCTACTAAGATGGTTGAATTCTCGAAAAGTTTCATTATCATATCACATATTTTATGTCGACTTTTCTGACTGTTAAAAAGTTTTTTTTTGTAACATTAGTATATTATAAAATGTGAATTTATCCGCTACTTAGGGTAGAATTTATCCGCTCACTTACGTATTAGCCATCCATTCGCAATATACAAAATTACATTCCCTGATTAAATCTCCTTTGCTTTTTTATCGTGCTAATCGATCATGGAAAACGTAACAATTATTAAGGGACCTTTCCTCCTAGACGACTACTTACGTAGAATTTCTCCAAGTGGAAATTGTAGTCCGAGCATAATAATTAATGGGTACGGAAATGAGAAATGTGTGCACTTGGAGTAAATGAGATCGTTTGTATTTGAGCCGTAGCGTGGAATCTGGGAATAAGAAACATTGTTCGCCCATTACGGTGAAACTAATGTGAGTAATTTACTACTGCTCGAGAGAGAAATTTCACATTTGCCTTTTGAATTTCAAAAGGTAAAGAATTTTTCATGTTCAGGTGCATGCATGTCACTCGGCTGTTATTCAACAGCATAAAGCCTAAAAGTGGAGTTGCCTCGTATCCACCAATAAGTACCAAGTATTTCATTACGGGGAGGATTATGGTTATGATTATTATTATTATTACCTCAACGCCATGACCATGGAGAGAGCCAGTCAGTCAGTGATTATTATTCGGATTATCTGTACTAACAGAACAGGTATTATTGAACAGACGTGGTGTGATGGATTTATAGCTTTTCGGCCTTCCTCCTCTTCCTGCGAGTAAGTAAAGGATTAAAATCCATGCCAGGGAACTTTTACACATTTTGTATGTTCGTGTGGGTGTCTAAACGAGTTTGTAAGGCCGGCTTTTCAAACATTGTGCGTGTCTTGCCCCCTCAAATAAAAGGTGGAGGATTGGATTTTGTGCTTCTTTTACCCAGACGTGAAAGGCGGACTTTGTATAAGTTGGCAGTGAACGTGGGAGTCGTGTAATGTATGTAATAATGGCTGTACTTTGTAATAGGTGTAATATCGGTGGGTAAGGTTTTCGTGGAAGAATGAGACTCCTCGCCTGGAGGAAAAATCGTCCATTATATTTATTATTTCAGAGGACGACTGGATCGAAAACTTTTACTTCACGAGAGAAATAACAGGACAGACGGAGGAAGGAAAGAATGGCATTTTGGTTTGGATGGTGATTTTCATTTTCGTGCCGTGGTGGTTGGTAGGAGGCATATGTACGTATTACTAAATATTAAATTGGGTTTGAAGGGGTAGAGTAGTGCCCATAATAATACTACATTGAGGATAAGATGACTCTCAAGCATTATGCCGTGTTACACGTTTTCATCCATCCCGAAGAGAGTAGGTAATTTCTTCTGTGTTTTAGTACAGTCCGAGTAATAGTATGACTCGTAGACATGCACGTAAGCAATAATCATAATAATAATGCCTGTAAGTATTAATAATGGAGAAACCATTACAGTTTTTGGGAAATTGCGTTGGCTTTTTCGAAATCTTTTTTTAAGGAGGAAGGGTAATACCCGTAAGTACTTTTAGCGTACACATGCAATTTTTAGCTGGTAGTTTCTCACCACTACTACCACTTTTTTTGCAAAAATGTAACATTCTTTTTCGCAAACTACTTACTCTACATGATTTTGATCATTGCACGTAAGTATTCTTATCGGTCGTTGATATCTATAATATTCCGATAGCCATCGCAAACTGCCCAGTAGTGTGTCAAGAAGTCTTAAAATGAACGCAATAAATAACCCACCCAGTGGGAAAGTCGCATGTCGGGGGATACTTTGAAGGGCTAATAATATATAATGCTTGCCCACTCTGTCACGCCTTAGAAAAATGGCAGAGAAATGGATGGAGATACATTAAAATTAAGGAGACAACTCGTCCTACAGAGTAAATAGTGGTCGTCCCACGGCGCCCTCCGAAACTCCACTACGACTGATTGTTTAAGCTAACAAATTAATTTATTAGAGCAAGTAATTTACAAAAGTAGCAGTGGTAGTGGCGTCGTGGTTGACTTGGATGAGGAAACTCCATCCGTCCCGTAACCGGATTAGGCTCCCATTGTTTGATTGCGTGTTTAATGTCATTATTTCAGACGAAGCCAAACCATGAGCCATGAACCCTCGCTGCACTTCTCTCCTCCGAAAAAAACTTTTACGTCCAAAGAACAAGAATGAAATCAAAACGAATCCGCTTCAAAGATGGCAATCAAAAAGTATGTATTGTATTATTCCGAGTCGCAAAAAAAGAGATTATTATTTATTCGCATAATTTGGAAACAAGTGCAAATAACATAAAACTAAAAATCTGACGAGACGACAAAAAATCACCGAATTTCTTTAAGAGGACAAAGAGAAAAAGAGTTATAAGGACAACTAGAAATATTTGGATGAGAATGGACACCCCGTCCCCCATTAATTAAACAAGGCATAATTTACTACTATTAACCACATTAGCAGTAAAAGTTAGTTATACCGCGGATCGCATTAAACTCGTCGTATCCCATCCCCAAACTTGGCCATGGTATTATAACAAAGTGTAATTTAATCCATTTTATGTGAGCAGGTTTTGAGAATTTATTGCAAATTTGGATTTTCATGTCCTCTCCTCTTTCGACAAGAAGAAGAAGAAGAATTCAAATTAGTCTTGTTTAAATTCGTTAGTGCATCTTTCCGGAGAATGGAGGACGACTTAAAGATTTGAATATTTGTACCATAAAACGCAACCATTTTCTCCATCTTTGCATAGAATTTATTGTTATTGCATAATATTATGGGGCACATGAGAGCGCAGACAATGAGAGAAAACGAGATGTTCATTTATATTATCTCCTCCTCGGTTTCTTCTTGAAACTTGAGGGTTATTATGATGCTGTGCTTACATATTATTTTCCTAGACTGGATGGACTATTGGTCATTATCTTAACATACTATTTTACGATTATGTTCAAAACTTATGCTTAAAAAGGAGACGGAGAAGAGAAGCTTCTCATTCCTTTGGCTTAATGTTGGACCATTTAACTAAACAAAATGTTGGAAATGGGCAGAGACTAAGAAGTCTAATGGGCGAATGACGCTCCGGGTGGAGATTTTTTCCACTCTGGGTCGATAAATAATGGCAGAATGGCAATGACTTTGGTTCCAGTGGGAATATATAAATGGGGAACATTTTCATAAAATATTTTTTGAATTTTTATTTAAAAAATGAAGTGAGTGATTCGAATTGGAGGTTTTTTTTTGGTGGGACCATTATTACCGTGAGTATTATGCCACTGAATTGAATTTACAACCCATTAAGCCCAAAATCTGAGTCGTAAGAAGTAAGAATGCTGTGCTCCAGTTTTTAAACCTTTCGTATTTTATTCTCCTTCAAACGGACGAATGTGATGTGACTGACTGACTGTGAGTGGCTGAGCTGCTTGTACCGTCATAAAATTACTTTCTGGACATTGGGTTTTACGACAAGGTTTATGTTTTTTATGCAGAAATGTAAAAAATGATATTGCTTTTTCTTTGAATTATTTTTTGCTCTTGTTTTTTATAGGAATTTCGTAGAATTCTGGAACAGCCTGCTGACTGACCTGCCTCAAAAAATTGTCGTGAACGGATGTAGCACCAGTTCGGATTTGTAGAGCAGTAAGTGTGCAACTTTAATAAACTTAGAAATATATAAATCCGTAAAAAAAGAGTTTAACTTTGTGTAAATTATTCATTTAATTATTTTTGTGAGAGCGTAATAAAGTGTGCAAAATAAAGTTTTAGTTTTTATTTAAGTGAAAAATAAAACGAGTTATTTTTTAAACAATTGCAAATTTCATTACTTCTTCGTGATCGATTCAGCACCAACGCCACGATCGAAACGGGTGAAACAAGTCCCTTAACTGTTTTTCTTCTCATTGTTGTTTCCAATAATTACTGCATTTTAGTCGTTAGTGAAATACATTTGACGGACACTTAAAGCCACACTTCGCAAAAGTTAAGGTAATTAGAATTTATCATCGCACTATGCTCAAGAAAGTTGGTCTGTCAATAAATTAGGGTGATTAGAAAGATTCGTTTATGTACTTATTTCTTGCCATTTCTTTTTTCATCTCTGCCCAATAAGTGCAAGAACTGAATGGGAATGACCGTATTTAAAGTGATCGTTTAATCACGTCTAATGGACTCATTTGCTTTTATCTCTGTGGAATGAATATAAAGAAAAAAAGAGGAAGAACCAGTTTCTCTTAAATATTTAGCAATGAGAGTTAGCAACAAGTTCTTTTTTTCAAATTGACACTTTAAGACTATAAAGTTTTTAGAGAAATAAATAAATATGTACTCGAGAGTTAATCCTCTCTTCTTCTTCTTCTTGAACCATTATCAGCAATCTCGCCTTTTAAGAGTGCACTAACTAGCAACAAGGTTAATTTAATGGTTACATTTGTTTCAGGGGGAATGATTATTATGCGATGCGCTGTTTTTTTCTTGGTTAAGGAGGGAATGAATTGGTTGGTTGGTGGGTTTTACTTTACACTTTGGACTGTTTTGCTGTATATCCTCCTCCTCAAACTTTACTTAATTTGATGATGGGAAAGACATTAATCGCAATTTTGAGGAAGTGTGTGCGCATTCATTTGGGAGAGATGAATTTGGGCAAAAGTGCCTTTTAAGGTGGAAGGTGAAGTGATAATAAGTTCAATTGCGAGTTATTGCGTGGTAGAATACTCGATAATTATTGTGACCAAGAAGAAAACTTGCAAAAAATGGTTATGTGTACACTAAAAACAGAGATTATATGAGCAGAGGATGGTCATGTTTTATGTTAAAAATGCACAAATGAAATTCCATTCACGTCCATTAATTTTATTGTTGCAACAACAAAATGAAAATTTCCTCGTATTTATCAAGAAAATACATGCACACACAATGTCATAAATTTACTACGTGAATATAATTAACTGGACAATAAAATACGCGTGGAATATATTACACGAAATAAAACAACACAGAACAAACGGTTTTTTATGGGGCACAACAGATTAGCAATTTTATTAATGCACGTTCTTACCAGTTTACAGAAATTATGGCACGAATCACTGAATTAAAGTTACAATAAACCTGTTTTCTGCAATTTTTTAAAGAAAATCACAAATTATTATGGAGACTTTTAGGTTTGCGCATGTCTCCATTTTCTCGGTCGGTTCAGCCCGAATACGTAAATCCCATCTACCCAATACTCTCCCCGAAATCCGGAGAGAAACTCATGCGCATATGTATAAAATAACATTAGCCTTACGTACACACACTGGAATTCCCTACCCACCAAAAAAAAGAGTGAGTTGAAATATTTCCAGAGGCAGAATGAAATCAAAGTTTGTCCCATGAAGTCGTAAAATTCTTTCAAAATATGCTCATTACGCGCAAGAATGTCCATGTGCCATACTGCCAGGAAAAATGTTGCATAATTTAGGACATGACCATAACGAAGCTTCTTTTAAATAACTAATCTTATTTACAGAATATATTTACCTGCATGAGCCTCCCATTAAGCTGCACACAATTGCATTCGTACAGAATTCCCGACTAGACATAAGGGTAAATTTACTTGTCAACTGTCAACTACATACATACAACAACTGGTTTACGGATTACACAACATGTGAGATTTTTTATGGATGTGATGCGAGAAAGAGTTTTAATGGAAGGAGTGGCTCACATCATACGCATTTTAACAATGTCCAAAAATGAAGGTGCATACGTTATTACTAACCGAATTCCATTCCAAGAAAGTTCAAATGAAAAGAATTTCAATCACGGAGCAAATTTAAATTCACTCTTTTATACGCATTTCTAACCATTTAATGGACAATGGAATAGTGCAGTGTGGTTTCATGGAGCGGATTGGATTGGAGGAGGACGCAGTTGATAGCCAATCTTCTTTAGTCACAAAAGTAACCACTCCTAGCCCATTATAATAATCCAACTTTTCAGCCGACTGCTTTACGAGCAAGATTTCCATGCTAATTAATCCCCATTACACCTTTCATTCATTTTATAGAGAGAGAATTTTGCAGATTTTTAGTTCACGTCCTACCCACCAGGCCAGAGAGGGGACTGCATTATTCGTCGTCATTGCTTTCTTTCCCCCCAATAAATCTTTATGTGATCCTCCTACCACGTGTTCCACTTTAAAATGTGAAAGCTCCTAAAATCTAAGGGTCGATAACAACAACTGCACAGCAGAATGAGGGGTGCATGAAACGGATGGTTTCATTTTGTTCGAGAGATAAGTCTCATAAATTTCTGGGAACTTTCACGATTTGATTCTCTTTCTCTCGTCAACTTATCTTGGTCCATATTACACAAAACCTTGCGAGAAGGAAGACGATATCCATATCCATAAATGTAAATCTAAATGGAGCAACATTTACTCGAGAGAAGAGGAGGATCTGCTGGAGGATAAAGTCTGCATGTACTAAAGAAGGAGCAGAACGCGGGTGTGGTCCGTAAAGCAGTGGACGGACGCTTCATTTTGCGAGAAGAACAAGAAAGTGAAATGGATATTGTAGAAATGGGGAGCGTTCATAATACAGTTTTCGGAAATTTAAAGTTGAAATTTTTAAAATTTGAAAAATCTTGAAAAAAATATATTTTATTATTTTCTCCGAAATTGGTGGACTGACCAAAGAATGTCCATAGCCTCTGGAAATGAGGGCCGTTTAAAATAAAATTATACGACATGACTGACATAGCAGAGAGGAGAGAGAGAAGCTCATTTTATCCCGGGGGTAATTTACATCCTACAGTGCAAGAAGATGCCCGGGTTGTTGTAGTAGTTTTGAGTAATCCGGGTAGGACAAGGCTAATAAATTACCTGTAATGACCCACCCTAGACGCCCATTACACAAACTATTTAATTAAAAACTTTTCTCTCTCGCCGGAAGGAAAAGGAACAAAGAATTCCAAATTAACTCTCTGCCAGGCTCTCTCCTGTGTCTCCTCAATCTCTAATCAAGCCGGGTAGGTTGTTCATTATGTTGCGTTATGGGGAGTCCGTCTACTCCCACGGACATGATAAAAGAAATCCCTAACATTCATGAAAAAAGGACATTTCAAAACTTCAGGGAAAGTTATTTATTTATTCCTCTAAATATTTTTCGAAACGTAAATATTTTACCAAAGCAAAGTGAAAGCAAAAATTCGCACAAACAAACCCGATAATCAAAATGTCATGAATTGTACGCCAATTTGTCGCATACATAATTATGCACGCCGTGTCGTGTTTTTGCAATCAACAACTTGTCACTGCGAAAACATAAATTTAGCCATTCTGACAACCTACTCTCATCGTAAATCCTGTCTGGGCAAATATTGGCGTCTCGTTTGTAGAATAATAAATAATCTCATGACTGTGTTATTAGTCCGAATAATAATAATGAATGAATGAAGAGGACAGAGCTCTGGACTGGAAAGCTTCCGAAGGGTGGGCATGTGCAGAAAGGGAGAAATCGGGTGGACGGAAGGAAGGAAAATTAGAGCTGCTTGCTCTGATGCCCGCCCTGTGACTAGTGAACTCCGGCTTAAATAAACCGAACCGACAACTGACAACTGACTGACTAACTTACCCGGCTCTCTTTCTCTCTCTCCCTCCTCTCTCCAAAAAAAGTAAAAGTAAAACCTCGGGACAAAGTCACAACCAAACAATCACATTTACAAACTGTCAAACGCACAACCAACAACACGACAAACTTCGCTCGAGCAAAAATATTCACACACACACACGAGACAACTTTTACTTTCTTTTCGGTTCTTTAAATTGTTAATAGAATTTTAAGTTTTTTAAAATTTTAAAATTTTAGATTTTTAGATTTTAAATATTGTTTATTCATGACATTTTAGATAGTTATAATTTTCTTACTAATTCTGCCAAGTGTCTTGCCTACCATATTGTCACCCGCTAACTAACAAACTAACCAAGATTCATCTGTGATATTACACGAAAACAAACCTATTTCCGTCCCATCCAATCCTTCCCAATGTACAGATGGATGGAGAATCCGTTTATTTATTGAGGCTAAAAACGCAAGGCTAACCAAGTGCTGCTGTCTCTTCTTATATAACTCTGCCACTCTTTTTTTGTCATCGTTGATATACCGACATCATTAACCTTCAATAATAACAACCTATCCAACCGCTACTGGAACTGTCCATCTATTCTAACTCAAGGTATGTCGATAATATAATAATACATCTCTTGTAAAATGCTTCCTCTTTATTCTCCTCTCTTTTTTTATTGATCTTGAACTTGAAGTAAAGTGCATACAGAAAAATTCTACAGTTACATTTCTTGCTGTGTTTTTTATTACTTTTACTGTGCGCATCCATTCATTGATTGCCAGAGAGTTTGTCACCTTTACTGGTTTTGGCTGCAGGTATGGTAAGAAGGTGTGTAAGACGTGATGAATTTAAAAAAGGGTTTTTCTGGTCCTGGAAATATAACCAGTTGAAGGAAGGACCATCATAAAATTGTTGTGTAAAGAGTTGTAAATGTACAGAAAGGGTAGAAGGAGTCCTCTGAGTCACTACTGAGTCACTACATTTTGCACATAAATAAATTTAAAAATTTCGGAATAATTTTTTTATTCGGGAATTAAATTAGCTTACACGTAAGCCGGGTCCGGTCATGTGGATTAAATGATAAAATGTGGTGGTATATATGTGCCGGACAGGAATTAGTGATGGGGAATGAGATAGGAAATATATATAATAAATGTCTGGGGTGGTCTCTGTCTGCCTTTTTGGTCGCAATGATGGTGGTGGTGGTGGCGAACTAGAAGTGGAGATGGTAATGGAAGGCGGAAGGGAAAAGCCTTTCTGGTGATACAATTTAATGATAAGTGCACATCGGCCGTGCAAGTCCACCACCATCACGGGACACATCATTCTCCTCTCACCCGCAAGTAAGTGGGTCTTCTCTATACTTTCTCCAGGGATTCGCGCTCCCTATATCGACCCGAATTTCGGATTGGACATATTAGGAGATCCTCTCACATTTAAACAAATTGAATTGATTGGGCATACACAAGAGTTGGTCTACCCAAGCGAAGCTGGAATTTGTAGGAGAAAAAAATGATTTCACTTTTGCGAAAGAGAAAAGAAAAGGGTTACGGTTAGTGCTATTGTTTTGCGCAGTGGTGGTGGTGGATAAGTTCATTAGGGAAATAACCGTTTCCTTTCATTCTGTAGAAATTGCCCTGTCGGCTGCTGGTTGGTTGGTTTCGAAGATAAGATGCGATAAGCCCTCATAACCGTAGAGAAAAAGTGTTACTGTTATTATCTTTCGTTCCTCCTCTCTCTCTCTCTCTCTTTGTACTTCCGACTAGTCTATACACTACCCGGTTTTAGGTATTTCTTGTCGGGACATGAATCCCGTTTGTAAATATGTACGTATCAGAGAGGGAAAGGAATGTTCTCACCGAGGGGAAAGTTGGCTATGGGTGGTCCATGGTATATTTGAAATTTCAGAATTTTCATTTTGCGCTATATCTTACTTCACTTTTACTACATGGCTTGTGTGCTACTACGTACGTACGAGCACCGAGTTATTCTGAATGGAGGAGGAAGAAGACCAAGAAACATATTTAGTTTTGGAAGACGAGTTTTCTCTCCAGCTTATTGTATCTCTTTCCTAATAGCCTTTCGAGTAAATCTCCAACTTCTTCGTCTTCTTTGAGGCGTAGGGAACATAACAGTACCAATTTAAAAAGGGAGCAACTCAGCAATTTCCAACAGAACAATTTATATTTCCCGACTTTCTCGCAGTTATGCTTTATGCCAAAAATGCACAAATATTTTAATCGCTCCCCCCATTCTTTTTTGGTGAAAGAAGTGAAAGAATTATTTTTTTCTTCGTCTTCTGTTATTTATATTTATCCATCTTGGTCACACTCCTCTGCATGTAAGTGATACGTACAAGTGTAGACTCGTATGTGAGGCAGCAGCTCATCTATTCTCCAAGGATGAAGGTGTACAAGGAGCAGATTTAGGCTTAGACTGAGAAAATCCGAATCGGATTTCATTTCAAATTCTGTAAGCCTAGGATTTTTCTATTTTCTAAACGCGAGCAAACAACGGTCATTTCGGAGCACATTGTTCTTTACGATGCTCTCGGGAGGTGTTGTAAGAGGCATTCTGTTCAAAATTTAACACTACTACACATTTTGCCACCTGAACAACAAAAACAACCAGAGTCTCCCCGTCAGTCAGCCAAGGTATATAATCAGTTTTCTTAGGAAATCTTGGTGGGCATCTCGTCTAAAGTCTAGTCTAGCCAGCAGCCCATATTTATACAACAAACTAACGTTACATGCATCTCCTGTCGACGTTAAGATGTATGTACCTCTCTTCTACTAGTAGGTAATTCAATTCTTGGCAGGAATTTCACCAGCCAAAAAGATCCTCCCAGCATCAGCAGCAGCGACTTTATTTCTTCTCCACTATTATTTCACACATTATAATTAAAAATACAAAATTCGTAGCATGAGTACTTATTCAACCATCTATGTAAAACACAATGGGATGGAACTCGATTTATTTTTTCTTCCCTTTTCATAAGGAGACCTTGACTTGACAGTGATACTGATTTGTGTTGATTGTACTCAAAATTCAGTCAGTTTATAATTATTGCCGTGTGGATTCTCTATCTTGGGAGAGATTGCTCATTAAATTAGCCACCACCAAAGAACAGCCATTCTTGCTCGAATAAATATTAACAGAATCACTCCCTCCGGCCAATACACATTCGTATGCATTTATTTGTACCTCAGTCATCAGAGGATTTATAACGTATGTGTGTAGCTCCAAGCCATGGAATTGGCTCCATTTCAGAAAGACGTTCAATTATTGTTATCTCAACAGGTTTAAAACTGCCATGATACACAACAATGAGCAAGTGAAATGGGCCATGCATCCATAATGAGATGACATGACGGACATTTTATAATATTTTAGTCCCTATTTCTTATTATTCTTCTATACCTAGAGGTGAATGAGTAAGTTTGGTTCTTGTTGTTTTTTGGGTGAAACGCCCATTAGTCTTCCCTTCTAACTATTATCTTATTCAGGACACGTTTGCTCGTTTTTGTAGTAATGGTCAACTAAATGTATGTACATGTAGAAATTGTGCAGGATATTTTGTACTTAAAGTCATCCAGGACTGCCAAGGTCTCTATATTTTCTTGTCTGATACATCATCTCATCATCATCATGATGCCAATTGTCTGGTATAAAAACTCGCTCAAAATTTGATGTTAATCTGAAATAATTGAGTTCAAAAATGGTGTTCGAAGTTAAAACGAACGATGAGAAGACAGAGCGAGTCGATTGATGGGGGAAGATGATGGTGTATTATCTATTATGAATTTATGTAGGTAGACCCTGTAAAATTATTATTGAGAAAAGGTGATCATATTTTGATGAGATGGACACACAAATACGGACAGATACTAAAAAAATGAGTAAAACTGACGTAATATATAAATTGCGAGTAATTTGCGTGACTCTGTGTAGGCCGATTCATTTTGTACTGGAGGAGATGGTTGGTGGAATTGATTTTATCGGTGTGGAATGGCTAGCATAACAACAATGTAATATTTCGTAATGGCGATCGTAATAAGTAAGACACGTTCTTCGGTCTTGTTGTGAACCACCACAAGCCGAATAAAATTAAGGGTTTGTTTTATTATATGCCTATTCATTTCTTGTGGGCTCTCAAGTTGTTAAGTTGGTTTGGTTTTTGAGTAGATTTATACTTGGATTTGTTGGATAGTAGACCCGCAATAAAATAATAATGTTCACAATAAGGATACAAAGTGGTCGTAAAGGAGTCATAATCCAAACCCAAGTACAAATTAGTGCAGGTAATGAAACATAAAGTTAAAGGTTTGTATGTATACTCTTCTGCGCCTCGAGCACGAGAAGAATTTATTTCAAGATGTCAATCATTTCTGGGGCTAAATGTATTTCTTTTTTGCCCAAATCATTTCGAAATTAGGCTGAATTTCTTCCGTTTTTGTGATAATGATTTACTAAAATGGCTGCGTTGCTGTTGGGCGATAATAATAATTGTACGATGTATGTATGTACGTGGTGGTAGAGAGATAGCGTTTACGTAATGGACATAATGGCCCACGTAATCTCCTGGTTGGTTGAGCGTTGGACAGGTAAAAGTAAAAAAGGAGTGAGTAGCAGTCGTAATGGCATTAACACGAGTGGATGGAGAAACAACATGAAATGGTCATAACTTATTTTGTCCTGTCCACTATTTTTCTCAACATCTTGAACCCAGACCAGCCAACCTCCTGACTTCTCGTATCACAATCTTGCCTCACCTTATTTTACCTGGTCGTTCGTGGCAAGTTGTAATTCTCAACAGTTAAGCTTTGCCTATTCCAAGTCTCTCTATATGCTTATAATCGGTTCACAATGTTGTATAATTTTTGGGAATGGCCCATCATACGAGACATTTATTTAGGATGGAATGGATACAAAAAATAACTGACTGACTGAGAAGAAGAACACACCAACCAAACTTCATCTTCATCTCGTAGATACTAAAAAAAAGTAAAATGTAAATGTACATATTCTGTTATGGAGAATGGTTGGATTGGTTGGTTGGCTGCAAACAAACGGCTTGTAACTAACTCGTTATTTCTCTCCTTACTACATTTATGGTTAAATTTATTTTATGCAGGCCAGCCCAAGAAGAAGAATAAGGAAAGATTATCATTATTATTATCGTGGTCTCCTCTCCTTCTTTTGAAGATTCCGTATGTATCACAGGGCTGCATCGGATTGGATGAATGGATTACATTAATTAATCGCAATTTTATGCATTAACGCAGCACCAACAGAATTATTGGGCAGGTGGCCAATCTCTGAAAAGTGGGATGAACCAGTTGAGAAACAAATTCTATTAATTATTATGATCCTCATCATTTTTTAATTGGTGTCATTCTCACAAGAAGAAACTTATTAACGGGCAGGAATTTGGAATAATTTAATACGAATAATTTAAGAGGAAATGGTTTAAAAATTTTGAAGCATCAATTTAAAGTGGTTAGACATCTGTTTCTCATTCGTGTAGATATTTGTGAAGGTTGTAGAGGTATGAAGGTACGAGGAAAGGAAAAAAAGTAGTCGGGGTTGTTTTGACGTTGAAATTGATTCTCTCTGGATTATCATTACGATCATTGGATATTGGCATTCCTGCCGTGTTTTACAATTCAGAGAGCCACTTCAAGCATCAGACAAACGGTCGTAATTTATCTGGAGAGAGGGAATTAGAATTTCATTTTTCATGTGGAGAAGAGATCCATTGTTGTTTTTGGTTGGTAGGGTTTAACGTCGAGGTGTCAAGTTGGAGAGTTTTTGGATTATTAAAATCAGCTAAGATTGGTGGATGGGACGCCAGAAATTTGGTTATTTGTTAAATAGATATGTACGGACGGATGTTATTTTTGTCTGGTATTAACGGGGTTTCGGGCTGGATAGGATTTTTTTCAGTGGATTTTTGAGCAGATAAATATATGTGGGACAAGGAATGGAGAGGAAGCGTGTAGTAATCTGACTTGATGGAATTGCCAGCAGTTAGATAGAATGTTTCCAATATTGGATGGCAGGCGGAGGAGGAGAGGATGTGTGACATTTGGAGGAAATGGCTTCCTCTCCAAATTCAGTCATTTCTATTCTCCCTTTCCATCCAAATACATCACATCACTGACTCCATTATGGGACAAATACTTTCCATTTCGTTCGGTACGAGAGGTTTGGATTGACTAAATATATAAGTCGGTGGTGGTAGTATTTGTATATATGTAGTAGACTCATGTAGAAGAAAAATTGTCCAGTTGGGTTATATAAAATTTTCGAAATAAAAAATTCC